TATGAAAAAATATTTTTCAGAAGTTGCAAAAATCATATATAACCTAAAAACATATCCGATTGAAATATTACCTGTTTGAACTTTATTAATTACTTCCTGCGTAAGGAATAATGTGATGACACTCTGCGTTTGTTCAACGAAGACTAGGAATTCGAATAATATAGGATCTTCCATATTTTCACATTAACACTTTTGTAAAACTATAAACTTTTCACAATTCCGCTATCAACAGCCATATACAATTACGTTAGCGCATAGAACGCATAAGCTGCCTCAGCTCAGACTTGACGTAGCTGATGCGTGCATTATGCGCTGCAGGTGGTGGGGATCTAGGGAATCTTGAGCGCTGTTGATGCGCGCATTGAGTGAAACGGACCGTTTTCTATGTAATCCGTGTACATAATGCGCGAAACGGAACGCAGCCATAGTGTTCACTTTTACACTGTTGTGTTTTTTTAGAGCGTCCTGCACATGTTCCAACATCTTTAGCATCATCGAGAAATTGGCGCGGTTCGATGTGATTATAGTTTATCACCGCACCAGTCGATACGCGACTCTCGAACGCCGTATCAATTTCACGCCACACAAGTGCATTTTGACGCGCACTACATCCGGCACCCGCGTGTACGAAACGTCCGCGTACCGAATTTTCGCGCGATCTGAGCAATCAGCGATTGTCGATATCCGATTGATAATCGTGGTCGTTTGATCCGACTTTGCTCTTCCAACGACTCGATGTACTCGTCGCATCGTTGCTCCCACACAATGTAATCTTCCAACGAATCAAGCAAAGCGGATTGCTCTCGCAAAATTTGCTCCTCCATATTGTAACACTTGCGAAATTTAGCGTTTCTAATGACTATCCTGATGCACTTTAGCTGCTGTTGGGGTGCGCCTCTCTATCATGATTTATATATCGTCTCATGCATTGTTTTATCGTCGAACATTCTAGAATGATTTCATCTTACAAAAAATTCCCCGTAGTACCGTGTGCAATTTGACCTTGATAATTTCACGTTTTGTCACGTATATTTGAAAAATCTAACGTGATTGCATCAGGGGCAACCGTACATCGGCGCTCGATTTTAGCGCATTCAGCTAAATTTTTGTCTGGGGATAATGCATGTTTTAACCTTGGCGGTTATTTTTTCGCGTTTTATCACATACATTTAAATAATTTTGACGTGATTGCATCAAGGGCAGCCGTACATCAGCGCTCGATTTTAGTAAATTCAACTAAATCTTAATTTCGATGAGGATCTTAAGAGGATCCTAAAGCGACGAGCGAACTCCGACGGATTAGCGCCCCCATCTAAATGTAACTAAAAATATCGATAATATCGACATTTTTAGATACGCTATTACCGACATTATTATTTGAAGCATGCATAATATAATAAAAAATGCAATCTTTTGCATTGCGTTAAATATATTGAAATGAGATAATATCATATTTTTATTAATTTACATATACATGTATATATATAATATATTTCATACATGTTTAAAAAAAAAAATATATATATATATATATTAAATATGTTATATATTATATATATGTAAATATATTATATATACATATAATTGTTGTATATGTAAATGATATGAAAATTATATAATTTGTGACGACGAGCGTCACTGCGCTGCGCCAATTTGGCGCCAAGCGCCGCCGATTGAGTACCTCGACCGAGCCGCGGAATTAGAAGCCGCGGATTGAGAATTGCGGCCTACCCCACTACTACGCGCATGACCGCGTGGGGGTATCGAGTGGGGGTAGCTAGCCGGGTATATAAGGCGGCCGCTCCGGCAGATCGGCACCTATTCCTGTCCCGACTCTCGGGACGCTCGAAGCCACAGGGCGCACCCTGGGTAATCGAAGCCTACCGAGCTCCTATCCTCGCTCCCAGGTTCAGAACACGGTCTCTACCGTGCCCGGTCGGGTAAACCCAAGGTCTGTAAATGAACGGCGGGAGGGGAAGGAAGGTCTTCGCATTCATATTTACACATTTGGCCCCAACATGGCGGTCGCTATCTTCCATATGTTAACCTAAGTTTTCAGAGCTGTCAATGTATCAATATGTAAAAGAGGTTAAGGGTAGACAAAAGTGCTTTAAAAAATTAATATAATTGAAATTACACCAAGAAGTGGTAAAATAAAAGGAAAGAAAGTGTATTGAAAATAAAATAAACGTAATAAATTATAAAATATTTAAATATTTATTATAATTCAACAAAAGAACGCAATTTTTGAACATAACGATATAATTTTTAAATATAATGTATTTTTAAACATAACGCAATTTAATATATATAGTTATAACATGTATTATAATATTACATTATAAAAAAAATAAATTATAAAATGTTATTTTATTAGATCTCAAAATAAAAAATTATTAATAAAAATTAGTAAAAAATTAACTTATTACTTGTCTAAATGCACTTTTTGAAGCAAAAGATTTATGTTTTGACTGTTTAATTAATTGCTTTTTGTTATTAAGATGGATAATTTGGCGAATATGGATATAGCGACAGATAATATTATTAAATGTATTACATGATTTACAAAGTATGGTAGAAGGTACCCAAGTCTTAATCATAAATAATAAGTGTTTAAATAATTGAGGATGTAGCTCACACCGATGCAAGTGCTCTTCAAGATGTGCTTCGACTGTAGTTATATATTTAAAAAGTGGAGTAGAAGGATTTTCTAAAAATCCAAAAGAGAGATTGTTAGTGTAAATCGAAAATCGATTGTTATCATTCGCCGTAAGTGCCATTACACATGATCGACAAACATATTGTTTGCGGAGAACATAAGATATAGCACTTCCAATAACATTATTGATGACATTACATTGGATTGTATTTTCTATAGGTTTAACAAAACTATAATCTTGTTCATTTTCATATATTTGTGAATACATACATTTTTCAGGTGGAATACTTTCGTCTTTTTTCTCTTTGTTTGAAGTTTTTTTTAAAGTATTAAAAAAATCAATATAATGTTCATCATTATCACAATCATAGTTTCTATTTGTTTTATGAGTATCAACAAATTGACACAAAGTAATGAGACGAAGACATCTTTTTACTTGCAAAGGTGTTGGGTTAACATTTCCATGTCTTCGCAATGTAGAAAATAAGTTTTCCAAAGCATCTTGATTTAAGCGAGAGGTAAAAAAATAATAATAATCATCTTTAAAAAGTTTATCTATAAGGCATATTGAATTTAAAACTGATATCTTGATACCAGTTTGAACTGGCTTCCATGCTCCTCCAATAACAATATGCTCAATTAAATATAAGAAATTATCAATAATTGACACTTTTTTCTGTTTATTTCCTAGCGTAATTGCATCCTTTTGATATCTACCATTCATAACATTAAACCAGGATCTGACTGTTCTTAAAAACCAAGCTGTAGTTAACGCATCTCGTTCCATAATTTGTAATTGCACTAAAGTTTCTAAAGCAGCTGCTGTTCTCTCACTAAATATATGAGCTGCGGCTGCAACATTCATTTTATTAAAATTTGAAGGTTTCAAGATATCCACAGTGATATTTGGCGCAAGTTTCAATTGATAACGTCTTTGGCTTTCTTCTAATATCTCAAGATATCGAAACCGAACTTCATTACAAGGTAATCCTTCAGATTGCACAATCGTTAAAGCTACTTTTATAATAAGATTATTCATTAAAGCTGACCGTAAATTTTTCAACAAATGAGGAACATCTGGAAATATATATAAAGATTCATGCGGTCGTATGGGATGAGTTATGAAAGGTGTATTGTTATCTTTGCCCACTTTCACACCTAATGTTCGCCATACAGCTTGGTTTTTTAGTCCCATATCTGAGACAAGACCATGTACTTTGTAACCTATTTTTTCTATCTCACCAATTATTTCTAAAATTACATCACACATGAAATTTTCATCTGAGGTTTTTGTTGTAAGATGCCATGCAATAACTTGTTTCCAATTGTCATTTAATCCTCTTAGCATAAAAACAATAACATTTGAACTTAACGTCTGTATATCTTCTTTATATGTTGTTTGACCAAAAAAAGATCCTAAAACAACAAATTAAACACAGAGAAAACAAATTTTTAAAAAATTAATAAGTTAATAAGAATATATATATATATATATATATATATATACATATATGATTTTATGATTATAAATAGTAAATGATTAATGATATATAATAATTATACATAATTTAATAAAATTATTTAATATTAATATAGGTATATAGGAATATGAAAATTGTGTGTGAATATAATTGTATTTATTTTCAATATTTTATTTTCAATATTTAATTATATAAAATAAATTAAGGAAAGTGATATATTATTAGTATAAAATATAAATAAAATAGAAAAATGTAAAATATCGGTTAATAGTTGTAAAATAAAATAAATTGAGTGCTTGATTTATATGTAAAATGAAATTTTATTTACTTTAACATGTTAGTTTGATTAATTAACGTAACAATATTATAACATCAGTTTAGAGTGATTTAATGTTTTTATTAAAATTCAATTAATACATCACTTGTTCCATTTATTTTATAAATAAAAGTTGTTTTCAGAAATTATAACTCATCCTTTATGATGCTTATTATGTGTTGGTTGTTTCCCAATTTGCCATAAATTTGTCATATTAAACTGACTGTATAAAAACAGTACACATCAAACCATCATGTTATGCCACATGATTAGTGAGTGCTATGGCAATGAGCTGTATTTAATAAAAAATCTACTTTTATTTAATGCTTTGTATTACCTGTGCTGACATCATATTCCAATGTTTTGCAAATATCCATTTCGTCCATTAAAAGTACACAGTCTGATTGGTGTAAAGATGTGTGAGTTTCTTTTTTTTTTTTCATTAAGGAAATCACATCTTTTAGTACGCCAGGGCTGAAATTTAGTCGAGTGATGTGTCTACATAAAGTGGAATAGGATGGCAACGGTAATTTCAAATTGTTCCTTAAAAATAAATATGCTTTCCACCCAACTGAAAACCAAAAAATAATAATAAGCCATAAAAAATCATTATTTAATGTTACTTTTTATTAATGAATAAACAATTACTAAAGAAACTAATTACCAGCATATCTTATTTGCATAGCCGATTTCAAGCATTGTGGAGGCCAATTGGCTCGTCGATTGGTTAACGCTGATTCAAATTCTTTCAGAAATGATATTTCTTCTATTTTTTTAAACAATGTTGCATATTTTTTTTTTAAATTTTTGTGTGCTTTTTTGTGCTTTAATCTTAAGAGTTTTTCTCTTTTAAATTTTAATGTAAATTCATCATTTTTTTTTATTGTTTCAGCTAATTTCTTCTTTAAATATTTAATTTCATTAACTTGTCTGATTGTTCCATCTTTTTCAGAAAATTGTATAGTATTAAATGCAACATTGTTATATACTTCAGTTTGAGTTTCTGTATCTACATGCACAGGTTGATTATCATGCTGAATATTTATTTCTATAAAAAAAAAGATTATGATTAAGATATTAGAAATAACAAAATAAAATGCTAAGATAATATTTGTCACTTACGATCAATTACATTTTCTTCAGTCAAAACACCTACAGAAGATTCAGTTTCATCTTGTAAAACTTCATTAATACTTTCCTCAGTTGTAAAAATTGTAGGAATGGCATTAGGTTTTAATTTACGTCGTCCATCCTGTCGTTTATTTTCAAATTGAGAATCATCAAAATGAAACTGCAACGACAACAAATATTTATTGCCTATTTATTATATTTGTCAAGGATACTCCAAATATTCAACTATATAATTTTAAAACTTAATATATCAATACAACGAACTTGCTAAGCCTCGATAACTATTATATCTTACTTAATTCAATAAAATTGATATTAAATGAATAATTTTTGATATTTTTTTACAGTTTTGTATTATGTTTTAGAATCAAACAGTCGTATTACAAAATTATTTACTCAGATTCAATAATACCTCACATAACCTCGAATCTCCTTTTGGATGTTTAGCACACTGTTTAATCCAAATTTGTTTACGTTTTTCGTCAGCAGGAAATCTAAAAAGACGAAATCCTTGTTCTGCACGATTGCGACAATTTTTCGCACAACAGCCTGGCATTATTACATGTATTTTTTAATACTATATATCAATTCCACCTTCCACTTTTACTATTACTCACTCACTCTTCTCGTACAACACACACTCACACATACTTCGTGGCCCCAAAATGGCGCTCATGCGAAGACCTTCCTTCCCCTCCCGCCATTCATTTACAGACCTTGGGTAAACCCGATAACCAGGAGCTCCAGTCGAGCCAGGGACGATCCGGTCCAGGGTACGGGGCTCCCGTACTCGGTCGGTTGCAACCGACGTCCGGAACAGTCCGGCTTACTTCCTCGCATCCGAACCGCTCTCCAGTCGAGCCACGGACGACACGGTCCAGGGTACGGGGCTCCTGTACTCGGTCGGTCGCTACCGACGTCCGGACTGTCCGGTTCGCATCCTGGTACCCGAATAGCCGTTTTCACGACTCCTGAAACAAACAGCCGTTTTCACGGCTCCCGGAACAAACAGCCATTTTCACGGCTCCTGGAACAAATAGTCGTTTTCACGGCTCTTGGTACGAATAGCCGTTTTCACGGCTCCCGCAACGACAGCCGTTCTTACGGCTCCTGGTGCGTGGACGAGCGCCGTACCCTGGAGGACAGCCGTATCCACGGCTCCCGGAAAACAGCCGTATCTGCAGCACCTGGAGGAACCGCCGCAGCTTCTGGAGGACAGCCGTGTCTGCGGTACCTGGAGGAACCGCCGCAGCTCTTGGAGGACAGCCATATCCACGGCTCCTGGACAGCGACTGCCCCCCCCCCGTTCCGCATTTCTCACGACCCTCCGCATAATAATAGACTGTCTTGAATAAAACTGGTTTTCTCTCTCTCTCTCCTCCTACCAGATCCTCAACCAACCTTTCGTCACGGCCGCCCGACAAATCGTTCGTTCACCGTCCGCGCGTTTACTCTGGAGGGTCCTGTTTTACTTCCCCTCGTCTAGAGCCCGGTTGTTACCGGGCCCGGTCGGTTGCTACCGACGTCCAGTATCCCGGCGTACCACGGAGCACCCGTGTACGCCATCCGGAGGACGGGTTCTCCCGTCCTCAGCCAACTTCGGTTGGCAGACCCTGCTAGACCCGTGTCCGTGCCATACGGCACGCGACCACCCATTAGGACTTCCGCGTCGCGAGACCGACTCTGAGGGGGGACCCTGTTTAATTCCCCTGGTCTAGAGCCCGGTTGCTACCGGGCTCTGTCGGTTGCTACCGACGTCCAGTATCCCGGCGTACCACGGGGCACCCGTGTACGCCATCCAGAGAACGGGTTCTCCCGTCCTCAGCCAACTTCGGTTGGCAGACCCTGCTAGGCCCGTGTCCTTGCCACGCTGCACGCAACCATCCTTTGGTTTCTCCGCGGTCCGCGTTCGAAAGATACGTCCACGGTTTGTATAGTAAACATTGTAAATATCTTGATTAGCTTTAGGCCGTATCCGTTAGTTATTAGATTTAGGATAATTAAAGCCGCGCCCGAAATTCCGTCGCGACTCCGTGTAAATAATAGCGTACATTGGCGTACTTGTACGGGCCTACCGCCCGAAACTCGTCTGTTTGTTCTTTTTCTTTAAAATAAACTTATTTTAAATGATAATTGTGTGGTGTTTTGCGAGCCTGAGCCTCCCCTTCTCCCGAACCCTGACTCCGACGAGCCGATCCGCGGCGTCGGGAAAGGTGCTCCGTTACAAATTATAATATAAATTTACAAACATTTACATTACATTATATATTTATCTCATCGCAAATATGAATAGAATAATAAATTTATTCATTTCTTCAATTTACAATTTCTGAATATAGAGTAGGCCAATTTTTATAAGATGCAATATACCTTTTTTGTTTCTCCAATTTTAATTAATGAAGATAATCTTTACATTGAGATTTTTTTAAATCGCCTCTGGGATAATTATTTTTTAATTACCATAGCGCTCATGCAAACCGCATCTGGTATAAAATATTTTTAGAAACCAGCACACGAATAGATCGCCTCTGGAACAAATCTTTTTTAATTACCACAGCGCTCATGCAATCGCATCTGGTATAAAATATTTTTAAAAACCAGCACACGAATAGATCGCCTCTGGGACAAATGTTTTTTAATTACCATAGCGCTCATGCAACCGCGTCTGGTATAAAATATTTTTAGAAACCTGCACACGAATACATCACCTCTGAGACAAATATTTTTAAAAGCAGCTAGCTCCTGAATAAATCGTCTCTGGCACTAATAAAGTATGTAATCTTTGAACATAGAGAGGCAAGCGTTTGGCATTATATTTACACATCATTACATGAGCACTATATCTAAAATAAATAAATATGCACTATATATGTTACGCTCGCGGCGAGGATTTCGATCGAAAGCGCGCACTTATGAATCGGCCGCTCGCGAGACGCGCGAAATAAATAAGCATTTTTAGAGAAGCAAGGAACTTTAATACACAACACAGAACATAAACGATAACGTAAATAATACGGAATAATAACACAAATAGCACAACGGATCGGCTCGGGAAAAAAACGCGTCCGCACAGCTAGACAGACCAAACTCAAATGACAGACGCTGCTGTCAACAACGGGCTTCTTCTTTTCTCAAACCGGACTCGATCGCGACTCGAACCAGAAACGTAACTATATATATATATACAGGGTCTACCAAAAGTGTGGAAACCCCTAAATATCTCGGAAAATATATGTTTTACAGAAAAGTGTTTCCAACAAAAGTTGTAGGGTTTAAGAAGATCTATATACTGATTCTATCAGTTTGACCTTGGATGGCGTCGTCAAGGTCAGGTCAAGGTCACATTGACTTTTTTAAATGACACCCCCTACATTTGATTGCATATTCTTATAGCTTAATTCAAGAGCTTTCCAAAACACTATAATAATGTTCATTTTTATTAAGTACTTTGCGAGTTATGAGGGTTGAATGATAGAGTAGCGCCGGTATTAACATTATCCAAGGTGTACTACATGGAGGTTACTCGCTCGGATTTGCATCTGTTGTGTGTGTGATCCAGCTAACTAAGGCAAGATCGGTCGTGGATCCAGTCAGCAAAAGCAAAGACCCAACCAAATTACAATCGAGCATTTAAAGACCTGGAAAGCAATCGACATAGTAAACAGTAAATAAATTTGTGGATGCTCATTTATCATAATAATTGTTCGAAATGTGTGCGTGTGCGTGCGTGCGGTGCGTGTATACAGAGATCAGGTTAGGTTGCACCAAACGATTGCAAATGTGTTTCAATGTGTTAAAGTAAATGCTGAAAGTGGCTGCCATTTACTTCCTGACAATATGCTAATCTTTGGTAGAATGTAGAAATGACTTTACGATTCGTTTCAAAAGGTATCAAAGCCATTTCATCCCTTATTCGCTGTATCAATTCGTGAATGGTTTTAGGTTTTGTTCTGTAAACCTTACTCTTCAGATATCCCCATAGATAATAATCAAGAGGAGTTAGATCTGGTGACCGAGGTGGCCAATCCTCTCCTCCCTCATTTCCGTTCCTTCTTCCTATCCACCGTAGCGGAAAAGTCTCATTTAAAATACGACGTGGTCCTGCACCAAAATGAGCAGGAGCTCCATCATGCTGAAACCATATTTCTTGGAAATTATTTGGAAAAGTATTCTGTATGGCTGGAATTATTTGATCAACAAGTAATCTCTCATACCTTTGAGCGTTCAAATATTCTTCAAAAAAAAACGGCCCTATTAAATAGCCATCTATTATTCCGCACCATACATTTATTTTTTGTGGATGTTGTGTGTGAGTTTCCCGCACCCAATTCGGATTCTCATCTGACCAGAAACGAAAATTTTGATTATTAACTTCTCCCGTTAAGGTAAAAGTTGCCTCGTCTGTGAAAACAATTTGATAAGGGAAGATGGGCCGGACATCTATTAGTGCCATCATTCTTTCACAGAAATGTATACGACGCTCCTCATCTCCGTTTTGCAATTCTTGAACGTATTGCAATTTATATGGATGGAACTTGTTCTTCTTTAAAATTCTCCAAACCGACATGGGAGCAATATCGTGAGTTTGAGCGACTCTCTGAACACTAGAATTGGGATCTTCAATAAATGTCTGCAGAACATCAAGTTGTTTTTCTTCGTTGGTTGCAGACAATGGTCTTCCTGACTTAGAGCGATTTCTTACGCTACCAGTTTGTCTAAAACGTTCTATTGTTTTTAACACAGTGGACTTATTAATTCGACGGTTCGGATACGTGTCATTAAATAATCGAACGACATCAGAGAACGATCTTTCGTTATCACCCCATCCACGCATCATGAGGATAGTGATTCTTTCACGTTCCGACAAGTCGCCAGCCATTTTTAAAACGTTTAATTTTAATTAATCGTACGTTGTATTTGGACGATAACAATTAATTTCTGCTTGCTCAAAGCTGAAGTTAGAAGGTGCTCGTTCTTTGATAGCTTTATACATTCTTAGTTGAATTTTAAATGCGAGTTAGACTGCATGTAGTGCGTCACATAGCGGTAAATGAAGGAACTAACGAGACGTTTCATACACGTTTTATGGAGCAATTTTTTGGCAATTTGACTTCAGCGAAATATGAGGATATGTTGAGGAATCGATCTTGCCTTAGTTAGCTGGATCACACACACAACAGATGCAAATCCGAGCGAGTAACCTCCATGTAGTACACCTTGGATAATGTTAATACCGGCGCTACTCTATCATTCAACCCTCATAACTCGCAAAGTACTTAATAAAAATGAACATTATTATAGTGTTTTGGAAAGCTCTTGAATTAAGCTATAAGAATATGCAATCAAATGTAGGGGGTGTCATTTAAAAAAGTCAATGTGACCTTGACCTGACCTTGACGACGCCATCCAAGGTCAAACTGATAGAATCAGTATATAGATCTTCTTAAACCCTACAACTTTTGTTGGAAACACTTTTCTGTAAAACGTATATTTTCCGAGATATTTAGGGGTTTCCACACTTTTGGTAGACCCTGTATATATATATATATATATATATATATATATATATATATATACATATATATATATATATATACATATATATATATATATATATATAATATTTTTATTATAAGCGACACATTATAACGCGTTGTAATTTGTAACAGTCGAGGATCGAGGAACGTCGAGAAA